CCAAGTTCACTGAAAAATATATATTTGAGTAAGAGAGGGTACACAATAACCTTAGGAAAGGATTATTCTGTCCCCAAGTGACAGATACATTATAGTTAGAGCCTAAATAAATAAATGTGCCGCTAAGTATTTCCTGAATCATGACAAACATATTTCATCCATTTATAGCAGTAGAAAAGAGCAAGAGTCCAGTAGCACCTTAAAGACTAACAAAATTTGTGACAGGGTATGAGTTTTCATGAGTATCTGAAGAAGTGAGCAGTGACTCGCAAAAGCTCATACCCTGCAACAAATGTTGTTAGTCTTTAAGGTGCTACTGGAGTCCTCTTTTTTTCTACTGCTACAGACAGATGAACATGGCTACCCATCTTGATCTTATGTTATGTGTTTTTTTCTATAATTATTTATTTATTCAATTTCCATTTCATTTATTAGCTTCATTGACCCGAGGTCTTAAGCCAAACATACAAACAGCAACTATAAAATGCATTACATATAATTACAAGATAATTTAGAACAAACATCTTTACAATAAAAGCTAGTAAACATACTCTCGAACAGTATTATCAGACCACTTTATAAACGTCAATGAATTATATAAAATTGATATTATGGAAATTAGTTTTAAAATTTTAAAGTTATATACACAAAACTACTTATAACATTTCAAAGCTGCTTTAAAAATAACACTATCGAAAGATATTTTGCCACCAAGTGAGTCGTTTCAGGGTCCTCATCTGCTAGCAGTATGGTTATCACCCAGGGTTCCATAGGGAGGTGATGTCTTTGTAAAATAGGAGTAATCCAAGAGGTTCTGGGGTCGATCCACTGGTGGAAAAATAACATAAGAAGATCTAAGGTTTCTATTGCACCTGATCCACAATCACACAATCTATTTGAGTACTGTATTGTAGCAAAACGGCCACTTAGCTCTACAGTTGGAAAAACATTCAACCTTGCAAGCGTGAAGACATATCTAGATCTAGATTTATTTATTTATTTATCACATTTATACCCCGCCCTCCCCGCAATGCAGGCTCAGGGCAGCTCACAGTCAGTACATGAAATACAGTTAAAACCACATAAAACCCTATAAAACAATTCCGTTATTAATACAATTACATAAAGAGCAAAAGATAGTTACTGAAGATGGCTTATTTCAGTGTACTCTCTAAAAATCCTTCTGCTCAAGATCTTTCTGCGCCTCAGGCTAGATGTTAAAACCAGGAGCCAGGGCTCTATAATGGTGGCGACACCCTAGCTGAACGCCTGGCAGAAGAGCTCCGTCTTGCAGGCCCTGCGGAACTGCAAAAGGTCTCGCAGGGCTCTGATCTCCGGGAGCTAGTTCTACCAGGATGGGGCCGCCACTGAGAAAGCCCTGGCCCTGGTAGTAGCAAGCCTGGCCTCTTTTGGGCCAGGGAGGGTCAATCGATATTGAGACCCCGACCAAAGTGCTCTCTGAGGTATATATGGGGAAAGGTAGTCCCATAGGTATGCTGGACCCTGGCCATATAGGGCTTTAAAGGTAAGAACTAGCAACTTGAAGCTGATTCGGTATGCTATTGGCAGCCAGTGCAGTTGCCGCAGCACAGGCTGGATGTGCTCCCACTTGGGGAGACCCATCAAAAGTCTGGCTGCAGCATTCTGCACTAGCTGCAGCTTCCAGATCTGTGACCAGGGCAACCCCATGTAGAGAGCATTACAGTAGTCTAGTCTCGAGGTGACCATAGCATGGATCACTGTTGCTAGGTCGGCACGGTCGAGGAAGGGAACCAACTGCCTGATCAGCCAAACATGGTATAAGGCCGACCTGGCAGTGGCTGCTACCTGGGCCTCCATTGTTAGGGAGGCATCTAGAAGCACTCCCAAACTCCTAACCTCCAGCGCTAGCACCAGTGGTGCCCCGTCGAAGGTCGGGAGTGGGAACCCCACCCCCAAACCGCCCTGTCTCAAGCACAGGACCTTTGTCTTTGTTGGGTTCAGTTTCAGCCGGCTCAGCCTAAGCCAACCAGCCACGGCTTGCAATGCCCGGTCCAGGTCTTCCAGTCTGGAGTTGGACCGGCTGCCTGACATGAGATAGAGCTGGGTGTCTTCAGCGTACTGGTGACATCCCAGCCCATGCCTCTGGGCAAGGGGGCGCATATAGAATGTTTTAAAACTGATGTGCTGTTTCACACAACAGCTCAATCAGTACATCTGTAATGCATGCATCTTGTCCATATGACACAACCAACCCTTTAAAAATGAATGAATGTAACCTTATGAATGTAACCACCTGAAATACAGATGTATGTATATTGCATCAGATCACATGACAAATTCTTTACACATTAGGGGAATATGCACACAAACCAGAGTTGTTCCTGTGTCCCCTCATGTTTGGAACATATACTGAGAGCACTGGCTCTCTTATAAGGATGTTTAATACCTTTGGGGGGAAATAACTGTTCTTGTGCTGAAATTCATTGAAATGCAGTTTTCACACAATCTAGTGTCAAATTCTTTGGCTTTTCCAGTGATTTTTTTCTTGTGAATGTTATTATGAAATCTGTTTCCTGGATTCTTCTCCCTTTTCATAATATGGTGAAGTCCCATGCAGATGCCTGCCTACCATTTCAAGATCTGCATCCACATAGAGGTTTTCACATTAACCTGTATAGCCAGTGCATCAAAGCTGATATATTGGTGTTTGCAGTTGAAACACCTGGAGGCTGGTACTTGAAACAGTTTATTGGGCCTATTTAGTTGTTACAACAGAACTAATGAGGACTTATAGTGGAATAATGACCAAAAAAAATCTTTAAAATAAGGACTGAAAAGACAAAGATTTTTTAAAAAAAAAAAAGATGAGAATTTATTATAGAGAAAATTCTAGAATATTTGCACCACAATTTATTTCCAGTCATGCTGGAGAAGGACAGAAAGTGAGGTGCTTTGGTTTGCATCTACAGCTTCCCCTGCAGCTGATTAAGCTGGCTGCAAGAAAATGTTGAGCTGATTTGAGTGGTCATTTTGGTGAGGATAAAATAAACATTAGTCAATGGTTGTTTCCCCCCAATGTCCTTAAATGGTGAAACCATGTTATGAAAACCGCTTTTGATTGAATGACATTTGCTACTGTTCTGGGTATCCTTTAAATAATAATCACTATATTTTCAATGGTCAGTTTTGGAAAGGATGTCACCTTATTGTTTAAGTCCATTTGGGTAGGCAGTTGGCAAACTCATCATGCTGTGACAGTTTGATCACTTTCAGATTATCAGCCAATAGTGGCAATTATGTGTGAATTCACACAGAGCAGCACAGTTGTTCAAATATAGCCCCTTATCCCAAAGCAAGTTTCTGTTATTCACTTCCTTCCATGCTACCCATTACTCTGCTATTTGTCTCCTCTCTTTCTTGCATGGTACTCTTGATATGTGTTTCTTTATCTTTGTTTTCTTCTCTTTCTGTTGAAATTTTAAAAGCTCATTGGGTCTTAGATCTGCATTGTATTGCTCATTGTTCTCTGTAAATTGTCACATAAATTGATTGAAATAATATTAAAAATAATACTTGGAAGAACTGCATTTGGGAATGATTCAAGCAGAAATACATGTCCTTTTTATTATGTCTGTGTGTGTGTGTGTGTGTGTGTGAAAGCAGTCTCTTACTATAAGAAGCCTGCTTTGTAATGAACTTCTGAATCTGAGAATTTCGGGGAGATTGAGAACAGATAGTGGGCACCACAGTAGAGTGGAGTGAGCAATCACGAAATGTTGAGAGTTTCAACAAACCATTAAGAGACTCTAAGCCAATGGTCCTCCTATGATGGAAGCAGCTATTTTCAAATGCAGCTATTTCCTAAAGAGAGAATAAATTGGAGAAAATGATTGGCTCTCTGCTTTGGGGGAGAGATGCTTTGGGTAAGATGCAAGTGAGCACCAGGAAACACATCAGCAGGCACTATGACACTCACAGCATCATGTTGGAGATTACTGTGGTAACACTTTACACTTCCAAAAAAGGAGATGAGAGTCTCTGTATAAAGAAGATCAGGAATAAGCCAATCTAAGGAGATAATTTGCCTATCAGCAAGATGTATGACTGGAGACAGCTCAAACTAACAATATTTTATTTTTAAAATTATTTAATTGGCATGCAGTGAGATTCACCAATGGGCAATACTTGATTGTTGATATGCATTGGTAATTACTAGCTCATGTTTAGTATTTGTATTTGATATCTGCCAGCTCATGAGATTTCATAATTAATTCCAGCTGATATCAAAATGATTAAGAAATTACATCTAAATCCCTTGAATTTTGAGGTCAAATAAATCATTCAATATTTTAATTTCAAAATTTACATTTCATAATAAAAATCTGAAATGTCACAAATCAGATTTGAATTTTTAAATTCTATTTTATTTTGGCTCCACGTTAAAGGAAACATGCATTGAAACTGAGCACAAGTCTTATTCCTCCCAGTGCTGATGTTTTATGCACAACTTTGGGGCAACTCTTTAAAGTTTTTATTATTTGATGACATAAGATAGCATCAACCCACATTGACTGGAACATACAGTGCAGCAATTCTATAATTTTATTGGTGTGCTCTGACTTAATTACCATTACAATATCCTTCTTAGTTGTATGTTTGATGTGTTTCCCCGGATGCTCCCCCAAATTCAAAAACTTTACAAAAAGATCCTCATAATTTTGAATCAGATATTATACAAGCTGTTTTCTTCCTAGTTTTCACTGAAGTACATTTGGAGTAGGTGTCCATTGGATTGCAGCATTCATTAAATATTATAGAAGTCTATCTTTGGTGTTTATTTACTAACATTTCATTTAAAAAACATAGTGATGGTGCTTATGACAAGGAAGAAAAATGTAATTAATTCTGTTTTGATTTTTTGTGGATAATTTTTGTAAATAATTCTGTTTTAAGTTCCACTGATTCAGAGCTTTCTCCCCCCCCCCTCTGTATTTCTCTTTCTCCTCTTATTTATATAGGCAAAGAAGAATACATTGCAACATTCAAAGGATCAGAGTATTTCTGCTACGACTTGTCCCAGAATCCTATCCAGAGCAGCAGTGACGAAATAACTCTTTCCTTTAAAACTCTTCAGAGGAATGGACTAATGCTTCACACTGGAAAATCAGCTGATTATGTCAACCTTGCCCTGAAAAATGGAGCTGTCTCCTTGGTTATTAATTTGGGCTCAGGGGCCTTTGAAGCACTGGTGGAACCTGTGAATGGGAAATTTAATGACAATGCCTGGCATGATGTCAAAGTAACCAGGAATCTGCGTCAGGTAACAGTACAATGGATACAGCAATAACTGACTTTGCTTCCGCCACAGCTAAGTGTTTGGTGATCTTGGAATTAGAACAACATGTCATTGAGTGTTTAGCAGACCTCTGAAATGTAGTGTTCTACATGTTACCAGGAGATGGATCGTTCCAACCGCTCATGAGCACTGGCACACCTAGAAAGCTGGTGTGGTTCAGGGTTGCTTTGAACTGCCTGATGACAGTAATCATAGTGACCAAGTATCTGGGCAGTCTTTACTTATAGAACTGTTCGTAGGATGCGTTTTCCTGTTGCTGAAACACAGATGCTGCTTTTATAATCTCTTGGAATCCATGATTTTACTTGAATAAATCCTAGATGAAAAATAATAATGATAATAAATAAGGAATTGTTTATAATATCTAATAACAAAAGTATAGACATAAAATATCCATCCCACAACCACAGACAAACTACATTTGTAGGAGCAGAGTGACCTAGGACCTTCTCTGGCCCCTGGGGAGGTATGGACTGCAGCATGACAGTCAATAATTTCAACAGGGCCCCCCAACATTCTGTCCTTCACCCTAGGACCCCATCCTGCAATGTACTGATGTTGGGGCAGTCTAGGTTCACCATTGTTTTCCTTGGCCCATGACCCAGGTCCACTGTATCACTATAGAGGTTGAAAGACACAGAGGACAGGAACCATGCCAAAAGATAGCAGCCAGATATCTCCATTTTCTGCGGCTCTTGATCCTTGTTCCCATCCTCTGATTCCACAAGTGCTTGGTAATGTCAAAGAAAACATAGGGACATCTGATAATGGCTCTTCCATATAACACATAGGTTGCGTTCAGAGTGGCAGTTTGGCATGATATGGTGCCACCCCTAATTGAACTGGTTTAAAGTGTTGAGGGGCATATCAGCTACACAGCACATCCTTCTGCAGGTTACACATGGAGACATCCCATGGTCAAGCATCCACATTATTGCAGTGCCTCAGCCACTGAGCACATTGCAAAAAAGTTCAAAATTCATATGTGTGCATAAGTGTGCATGTTCTGCATGTGCGCATATGTGCTTGTGTGCATGCACACGCATGCACATATAGGCAATTAAAAAAAAACCTCCCTAGTGGCAGAAGGGATCTGCAGGTTCAGACTGCCAAATCTGTTCTGCGTGCGCTCCCCTGTGTTAAGGCATCCGGCCATGTGCAATGAATGCGCGGGGAAACAGAAACGCCACTTTGAAGGTGGTGGCTTTTTAACCCAGCTCCAAGTCATCCTCTGACAGGGTGAGTATGCCCGGGGAACGCCTGACAGATGTGGCTGTGTGACCGGGCCCATTTAATCCATTTGTGAAATGTGCCTATATCGGGCCAAACTGCCAGTCTGAATGCAACCATAGTTTGATTCCTGTTGTTACCTTGCCCACTGGTTAGTTGGGATTCATACACTGGAATCCTAAGAACACTTCCCTGGGAGCAGTTTCAGAGGGTAGCCATGGTAGTATGCCAGTACAACAGCTAGATTCATGTGTAGCAGCACCTTGAAAACCAACAAGATTTTTAGGGTATGATATTTCATGAGTCAAAGAATCTAACAAAGGGATATCTGATGAAGGAAGCTTTGACTCTACAAAGCCTATACCATGGGAAATCATGTGGTCTCTAGGGTGCTACTGGACTTGAATCTAGCTGTTTCCAGGGAGCAAGCGCCACTGAGTGGAGTTGAGTAGGCTTCTGAGTATACCTGCTTAAAGCAATCCCAAACAGGTCTACTCAACCTGCAAATAGTGTTTTATGTCTTAAGACTGAAATCATTAATGGAGTTTCCCTACTGAACTCAATGACAATTATTAGTTCATAAGTAATGCAAGTTTGTTCCAGTATTTGAAAGTATTTTTTAATGTATTTGATTTAATTTTGGGAGAGTTTTGTATTTAAAAATCTCAATGATTATTTAGTTATTTCTTCTATGTTCGCTACAAACGTTTGTTACTAGTCCAGTTTAATATCGACATGATGTGATATGAATATATCACTAAGGTTCAGATATAGCATTGTATCAGATTTGGTTGTGGGAGGGTCCCATTCACTTGGCAATGAAGCTTTTCAGCCTCACTTAAAGGTACCCCAACCTTCATGGTTTCTGCTACCTCTGTAGTTGTTTCCTGTCAAGACTCCTTGAAAAGGCTTTTGTTCAACACTGTTAAAGTATGCTAAATATGCTGTTAAAGGAACTGTGTGGCTAGCAGCTTTTACTCCGGCTTAACCAGTATGGAAGCAACCATGGAGGATGCAGCACCCGTAACACTTGTTTTGGTAGCTTCTAGCACTACAATAGTGCAAAGAGTTGTGTTTCCTTTAATAATCCTTGAAGTGTATGAAGTAAAAGGAAGCTTGCAGGGAATGAGAGACACAGACTAGGGATGGGCACAAAACAAACCACAAGCCAAAAGTCATAATAAATGTGGTCCAGGTTGTGGTTCATGAAATGTGGATCGTGCTATCACATCTCCCATGACCTGCTGCATTTTTCATGGGGGCTCATGTGGCCTGTGGATGTGGTTCATTAGACAGACATGCTGGTGCTGATCAATCAGTTGTTAAGGCAATAGGGGTGTGGACTTCTGCAGACCTTCTGCAGCCCTGAAAATGCCTATAGTGGCCCTCCAAAGCTTGATAGGCAGCTCTGGCTGCCAACCAGAGAGCTCCTATTCTGCTCTATGGAAGGAGAATGGATATACCCCCTGCTCAAATGAGCTTATTTGGCAGCAGTCTGGAGATGAGCTGTAATCCAAAGCCAATCTGCACAGAACTTGGAGGGCAGGTAGAAGGCCATCTCAGGAAGGTCTCTTGTGAGTTTGACACCTCTAACTTGCAGGGGAACCATTTGACACACTCCCCTCTTTTGCACATTGAACCCTAGAATCCCCCCCAAGCCAATCTGCACAGAACTTGATGGAGGGGCAGCCTGGGGAGCTGCGCTGTGAGTTTGGTGCCTGTAGCTTGCAGTGGAGGTGTTTGGAACACTCCCCCCTTTTCCACCTTGGACCCTAGGATCTCCCTATCCCAAAGCAAATCTGCACATAACTTGGAGGACAGGTAGAGGGGCAGCCCGGGGAGGTTCACTGTGAGTTTGATACCTCTAGCTTGCAGGGAAGGCATTTGACAAGTGCACTTTCCTGGGGGCACCTGCTTTGGGGGGATGTAACTTGCCCCCCCCTAAATCCAATCCTCACCAAACTTGGAGGGCAGGTAGAGGACAGTCAGCTGGAGACTCCCAGGGAGTTAGTGTCTCTAGCCTGCAGGTGGATGTTCTGCCACAATAAGGACTCACAAACCTTGAACTGGCTCATAAAACGGAAAGGCTTGTGAAAATTCGTAGTCTGGTGGTCGTGAGACCCCACGAGCTGCACACCTCCATGAACCTCCATTTTTCTGGGTCATGCCCATCCCTAGCACAGACTCCCAAATCTAAAATGGTGGATGACTGCTGCAAATTCCTTTCCATTGCACTATTTGAACTGCAAGACGAGGCAGTCTGAGTTATTCATGTGTCCTCTCTTCTGGAAGCCACCCTTCACAGAGTTGTTGTATGGCAAATAATTATAAAATACTCTGCATATATTGAATATTAGTATTAGAAATGGTGAAGCAATCATACCTGTACAAAATGACTTCTCCTACATTAAGTAAGTAGAACACGCTGTACTGCTAATTTCAACAGCAACAGAAATAGGAGTAAGATAGCAGATAACCCACTTTCTAGATTTGCCTTTGCTCATCCAAAACTGTTTAAAATCCAATAGAGTTTTTAAAAAATGGGATGGGAGCAAGAGTCATAGATGTACTAGAAGGTGCATGATCAGAGAGGCAGCTGAAGAAATCCATTCTACTCATTGTTATGTGTCAGGATATTTGCTTTGTTTCATTGCAGTAAACTGTGATCCTAAAGTCCATCAATATGACCGAAAGAAGTTTTGGAGTTGAGAAGGAGTCCTTGTGTGCTGAGGAAAAAAAAACTGAGTACTAGGGGATTCCTACTGATTTGCTGGGGAATGAGTTTTGGGAGGGTTGGGGGTCAGGAGAAGCAGTGGTCAGCTGATGAGCTTTAGGCATTCCAACCCCAAGAGTCATTTTGAATGTCTGTCAGAAGCATTCAGTTGGAGGAGAATGAGAGGAATGTGGTCGTATGTCTGTTTCTGTCCAGTGGAGAGCTGAAAATCAGTTCTACAGTATATCTATCTATATCGATCTCTATATAAATATAATTGCAGGCAAAAGACAACTCCTGTTACCTCTGTGGAGGCATATCTGTTAGTCTGCTTTTTATTTTTTCTTGTAAAATTATTTTGCCCTTTTTTCTGTGTTACTAACATGCTTAATAACTAACATGTCATTCATGGAATGTTTCATTCTACTAACCGTTACCTGAACCAAAATAATGTACTAACATTGGTAGTGACCATCATATTTTTTAAGTAAACGATCGTTATTCTGTTCACAAGTTTTTAATTTCCTTTCTCCCCCCTTCTCCACAAAGCACTCAGGCATTGGACACGCTATGGTAAACAAACTACATTGTTCGGTAGATATCATTCTAATTGTTTCTTATTTTGGGTTTGCCGTGTGTTTCCTTTCTTTCTTTTAACTGTAGACATCATTAACAAAAGAGGAACTGCGGTTGGTACTCTTCTGCTTACTTTTTTAACCTCCTCTTCATCCGTTGTTGATCTCCTATTTTTCTTTTTCTTTACCTGTTCCTGTCCAACTCTCTCTCACTCTCTCTCTTTTTTTTAATATTCACATGTAGAGGGGCATCGTTAACATTTTGCATCAAAAGCTGTGGTTAACTAACAAGAGATTAAGCTGGCCTAACTTGCCGCCAGTCTAGCTGGCGTTCTAACCATTCATAATGCATGGCATGTGGGCACGGATGGGAATGCCAGAAATGCCTCATCCACCCATCGTTACTTCATCTCCAGGCCCTTTGGTTCTCTTCATTCCTTTCTCTTCCTTTCTCCTCCTTCTCTGGGACTTGCTTCCCTGCATGCGCACATCAAAGTGTGCTGCTGCCACTTGGGTGTTATTTGCTGGTTTCTCTCTCTGTCTCTCTTTTTTTTCCCCTGCTTTGGCATGGAATTTAGGCTCTTGCATGGACAATCGCTGCTGTATATATATGGTGCAAAGAGTGATGGTGCTGCTGGTAATACGCTTGTGCCTTTTTTCTGTTATCAAGGTGCACGTTTTTTTTATTAGTCAATGACAGACTTTACTGAACTTACTAATATGTAACACCAGCTAAACTAACCTAGGAAGCATTCTACTAACACCATTTTTGTGTCTGCTAAATAACCTTTTGAGTTGCTAATAGGGACTGCTGACACTAGCTCAACAATAAGACAACTCTTTTAACTAGTTAGAGCTCCTAGGGATAGCTGGCTAGAATCCAAGACTAAACCTCAAACAGACATGAAAATGGGCTCCGCCTTAGGTCTCAAAAAAAAAAAAAACCTAAATAAAAAAATAATAAAAACCAGGCATATCCCAGGACAGCAGTATGTAGGTCTGAGTATAGCGTGTCCTTTCCCTGTGCTTTGTTATCTAGGTGACAATATCAGTGGATGGAATTCTGACCACGACGGGCTACACACAGGAAGACTACACCATGTTGGGCTCCGATGACTTTTTCTATGTTGGAGGCAGTCCTAGCACAGCAGACTTGCCAGGGTCGCCAGTCAGTAACAACTTTATGGGCTGTCTGAAAGAGGTAAATACTGTCATCCACCATATATATCATCTCATTATGAATTCTGCAGACTGCCGAAGGTCAAGACCTCATAGCCTCAACTTATCCCTACTTACTGGGTGTGTGGGGGGGGGTACCTTAAATTTCAGTTGTCATCAAAGCAACTTATCTGAAGTCTGAGTTATAAACAATGTTGTGAACTTGTCCAACATTGGTTCTTACTGCCACATCCTTTGCCCATTTCAAAAAATATCATGAGCGACTAATTGTATGACTGTTTACTAAAAGTGCCTTTGATGAATAGATTCTTCTGCCTTTGGGAACTATGCAACAGAAGTGTAAAGACTTGTCACTGTTGTTTTAAACTTTGATTCTTTGAAAAATTTTCATGTTTTTAAGAGCTTTCTAACAAATGTAGTCCTCTCAAGGGATTTGTTTAGAGTATGATGGAAGTTTTGATCACTTTTAAATGATATAAAATGATATATTTTAATGATTACTGGAAACAGAATACTACAGTCATAATATAGATGTGCCACTTGCATTGAATGCTAGTTAAAGTTCAGAATAGCAGTATAGTTTGTCTCTGATAGTGTGAGAGTTGTTTAATGCATAACAGGGGTCATTTCCTGCAGGAGAGCATAGGAGCGGAGCCCGGGGGTGGGCACATACAACAAGACCCGCCCCCTGCTCCCAGCAGCCCCGGGTCACAAGGAGCAAGAAGCAGCCCTCTTTCTTTCCTTCTCTCCTTCTTTCCATTTCCCTCCTTATTTCCTTCTCTCCCTCTTTCCCTCCTTCTTTCCTTCCCTTTCTTTCTCTCCTTCCTTTCTGCACAGATCTGTGCATTCTTTCCCCCCCAGCTAGCAATCGAAAACAGTCCATTGGCACCTTTAAGGCCAAGGTTTATTCAAATACAAGCTCTCCCTCCTCTGTGAGGGCAGATCTGCGCCCCCCCCCCATAGCTAGCAATCCAAAACAGTCCAGTGGAGCCTGAGCAGTGGGTGTTGCCTTCTGACACACTTCTGGTGATGTCAGGGGGTGTGGCATATGCAAATAAGTTATGCTAATGAGTTATACTAATGAGCTCATGAACCTCTTTTTCTACAAAATGACCCCTGATGCATAGACAGAGCTGTCTTCTGACAAGGGTTTACCATCCAATTCCATTGGAAGCTCCATGCATGCAAGCAGTTAACACATGGAGCTACTTCTTCATTCGAATTCCACAATATTTTCATTTCTACCAAGAGTGTACACAATTAGAATGGGACAACGTGTATGATATGATGCATAATTAGTATATGGAAATCATTATCACAGGATATAGTAGTGGTCATTGTAATATTTTGGGGTCTGCAGTTAAAGAATACCAGAATGATGACTGAGGCTTAAAACAAGAACTAAAACAGCAGTCTCCAAGCCTTCTTCTAGAACAAGCTAAGATTATGTGATCTTAGGGCATATCCACAAATTACCAATTAATTATCACTGTAAAATATAAGGGGATGTCTTTAAATTGTAAATTTTGTCCCTATAACCACTAGCCATTTAAAAGTATTAGATTGTTTAGCTAACTAGAACTCCAGTGTTGAGGAGCAGGATACCCTGCATATGAAGTGCTGAAGGCAAACAGCAGAGGGAGGCTGGCCCTACCACGCCCTGTATTATTGAACATCCCAGTGATATCTGGTTGGCCACTACTAGAAACAAAGTGCTGAACTTATGTGGACCCTTGTTATGGTTATTTATTTTTCCCATTTTAAAACACAATAATGAATTACAGTCGTACATCCATTTCTTTAAATCAAAATGTGGCACCCAGCCAAGTAAGGCAGAGGGGTGCCACCATGTTAGAAGAAATCAACTGCTTCTGGCAGCATTAGTAATCAGCTAAAACGTTTTCTATCTGCAGCCAGTCGCACTTGTTAAAACTTTATTGTCTGTTCATCGGAAATACTATATGTTGATTTTGTTCACTGATCATTTTTCCTTGTTGTACCCGGGGGGGGGGGGGGATGTTCAGTCTCATACACAAGTCTATAGTCTTTAATGTACAGTTGACATGATGGTGATCTAAAATTCTACTGTTTCAGTGCAAAAAAAAAGATTAAACATAGTCTTTGAACAAAAGTAAAAGTCTGAGAAAAAAATAAAAAGATTGTGGGCCTTGTGGCTAAAATCCTCTCATTTTTGTATGACAAAGAAAAAAAGAGTAAATGGTCATAATACTGGGTTTGAAGTTAGATCTAATTTCAAATCCTGTGTTTTGCTGTACTGGTTTGTGGCCTTGAGTATGTAGCTATAAACCTCAGTTCTGCACCTGTGAAACAGCAGTAATAGTAGCCCATCTCATAGAGGTGTTGTGAGGAGAAATATAGCAACAGTAGTTACTTGAAAATGAAAATATATACTCAACTGGTAACAAATGCCACTATTTTTTCCAGGGCAGCTGCCCTCATGTACCCCTTTCTCTTACTTTATGGGATTCCAGTGAACCAGGTTGTGTCACACACACCCTTCTCTTTCACAGGAATGTAATGCTATATGTGCACTGTTTATGCAACATTTGTACAATATTTATATGCAGCTAACTTAAAAGCAAATAATTCTACCACATTCAATTAGTATGGCCATGGGGGGGGGGGGAAGACTGCAGTTGTATCCCAAGTTGGGAGAACTTATGAATCAGTATCTAATTCATTTTAATTAGGACTCTGATTTTTAGGTGAATACCACTTGAGAATAACATTTTGGGAGTATGGAATTCAGCTATCTGTTCTATTTATGATCCACCATTTTGATTGCATCCCACCAATCATGTGCTGTGCCCAGACAGATGCTTGAAACCTCCTCTGTTTTGCAGGTGGCAAAAAAGGAGGTTTATCAGGGATTGGTGGATCACTGTATTTGGGGGGGGGGTGAGTTTGAATTGGTGGGTCACAAGTTGTGTATCCCTGTGGGATAACTTACTGCATTTGAAAGACAGATGGATTTTACCTACACATTCCCTTCTGGAGCCTTTTTGCTGCTTTGCCAGCACGTTGGTGCCACATTATGGGAATCTGCATAATAAATACAAGTTTTAAGATGCATGTATGTCAATGACAAAGTAGTCTTAAATTTGAGTTCAGTGGCACCTTTAAGATCAACAAAATTATATTCTGGGTTTAAGCTTTAGTGTGCATGCACAGTTCTTCAGGTACATGGAAACAGAAGTCACCAACCATTACATATACATAGTGGGTGAGGAGGATGTTGCCAGGAAAGGCCAATTAGAGTCAAGATGCATAAGTAACTGAGCAGTAAATAATGCTAAGACTGGATGAAGGCAATTGGTAAGATGTGTGAATAGCAGCAAATTAGCATACAGCATAATAAAAGGAGTTTACAACAGATGCAAGAACTGAATGACATGAGCTTGTGTAGTGAGATAAGGAACCGATATCTCTATTAAGCCCTGGGGGTTCCATTGTCCTGAGTGTTGCCACTGGACTCAAAGTTTGTACTGCTGTTTCCAACCAACACGGCTACTTGAAAGCACCTGAAATCAGTCTTAAAACAACAGTACTTTTCCCAATCATAGTCTGTGTTTATTTTTTATTATTCTACTGTCACAGTTACCTTACGTAAACAGGATGGTTGTATGTGTGCAACTTCTAAGAGCTCTCTGGGAAACAAACAAATAAGAACACAATTCTAAAATGAGGTATTTCATAAGACATTAAAGCATACGCCTTTCTAGTTCCATACCTCCCATGGTCTCTTAATCAGTTTTGGAGCCTGTGAGGATCCCTATTATATTCTCTTCAGTGAGAATATAGTGTAAGAAGATACAAATGATTTATATTCTATTGAGGTTAATTTCATTTCCTTGAGAGATCCATCCCATACAAGCAACACATTATGCAGATAAGGCAGAAGAATTCTCAAGTGAGAGCTAGTTGTAAATAAATATGGAAGTCCATTAGGGGATTGTTCACTGGTGGGACCCACAAGGCAGTTGCTGCCATTGTTTTCTTTCTTGCTCCTGTGTTTTGTTCATAATTATTTCAAGACAAAACGAAATATGGGTGGCAGAATGGGTGAAAGAAGGAAAAAGAATAAGAGGGAGCACAAACTTGCACAGTCAGAATGAAAAATGCGACCCTTATAAACTGGAATTAAAGCTTGGTCAACACTCTAAAATTTGTTAACTATTGTACTAGATTATTTGATTTCAAAGTGTTTTATTAGGAAGACCCACTACCAATATGTAACCATTTTTAATGGGCCACATTTGAGGACACATTAACTAATCTAGAAGGCATAGTCCTCTTGGTCATGAAATACACAGCAATATTCTGATAGTTGTTCCAATAGTAGTATCAGGGGTCATTTGGGGGGGGGACGCGGGGGGACGCCATCCCCCCGGGCGAGGTGCGGGAGGGCGGGGCCTGGAGCTCCCTGCTGGTGCCCGCTGGAGGTCGCCGCTGGCTGTGGGGAGGACACACTTCCAGTGATGTCAGGGGGTGTGGCATATGCTAATGAGTTATGCTAATGAGTCCCCCTAGCTCTTTTTCTACGAAATGACCCCTGAGTAGTATTGTTTCACCAGTGTTTATAACTCAGGATTCTGACAATATCATCAAAAGTTTAACTGATATTCATGCTTCCTGTGTTTAAAATGCTTGCTTTTTTTACTTGAGTTGTATTTAGGTTACTTCAAAGATTTATTCACAATCGAACATGCATGATCTTGACAAAAGGTTTGCACCTGTGCTTTGGAGTATTCAGTGTGGCTGCTGGTCAGGGAAATACAAGTCACACATGCTTGATTACTATGCCCTGGGTCATCATTTGATTTAATAGCAGCCAGGGCTATTTTGGGCCACGAGAACTAAGCACTGATACGAGCAGGGCTATTTTTGGGCAGGAACGCACAGGAACGGAGTTCCAGCTGGCTTCAGAGTGGGCCACGCCCACTACAGCCAAAACCTCTGCATGCCTGGCTACAGAGAGAAGGCCTGGAGAGCGACCCCCCC